AGCAGGGGATTCTGGGACATTGAGTGTCAGGACTATCTGGTACAGACATCATATCCAGGGATGCAAACACATCACTGGTAAAAATCAGCATGTGACTGGCATGGTTTGAGCTTAATGTCACTCTAACCCCAAATTAAAAAACAATCAAAAAATCTAATGGGAACTAATTCTATTTCCTCATTCACAAAGAACACAAAGCACATATTATAGTGAGACATAAAGGGAGAATACAAATATGCCAAAGAGCCACTAGAAGATAATTCAATATTCTCCATTTAGTCAGCTCGTCACAAGGCGGCCGTACACTATCTTTTGATCTTTTCTGGTAGCTATGACTACTAACAATAGCACATCAGAGTGGTGAAGAGAAAAAAAAACTACAAGTGACAAATAAATCCATCAGCCAGCATCCAGCGGGAAAACATGAAGGTTCTTCATTCTACAAGTGTTTTTTCTGCATTCTAAAATAACCCTCAAGTTTGAAATATATTCACAGAAAAATAACAAAGTGACTTGTGTGACTAGTTTGCATCCCTGTATATCAGCTCAGAAAGCATCGGAGGCAAATCTTCCAGCCTGCAGCATCCATTCCTCACCCCCGCAGAGCTCCGACACTCCAAATACGACAGTCTGCACTGACTTCCATTCACTCTTAGCAGTCTTCCCATTGACCGCCATTCATTTAGCATTATCTTGCCACATGATAAATAGTCCTTCCACGGACTTCTATATACTCTGCATAGTCTTTCATCAACTTACTTGCGTTCGTTCTGAATGGTCTCTTCACTCTCTTTATTCTATTTTATCCATTTCCTGTGAATGGATGTAGTGAATGTAGTTTCAAACTATAGGAGGGTAGGCAGTATGTCTGATGTGTGAGCCTGTTGCATAGCTGGGAGGAGAAAAAAAAACAGGAGGAGAAGGGCTGTGGGGAGTTCATCTCTCCCATCCAGCTCCTAGGTTCCCTGTCTCAACTGCTCCAGGACTTGCGGTTCTCCCCCCGGCGGGCAACAATGGCTTCACCGCGCAAGACGGGGACGTGGACGGGAGCGGAGAACTCCCCCGTGCGCCGACTGGTCCGATCACGGCATGACAGACGGTCTGGGCGAACCAGCACCCCGTAACCCGGTTTACAGTGGAAATATCGATGACCTCCAACTGAACCGTCATTTTTACCTGCAGGGAGAAAATAAGGTCATCACCACCAATCGGAATTCATTAAGCACTGTACTGTAGTCAGCTCCATCATCAAAGGCAGTATATTAACAAGGGAACATCAGAAATTCAGAAATGATCTGTGCTTATTACAAAAGTACTACATAGAAGGGATGCCCGTGATCCGATCCGAGTCATTTAATATAGAGTATCTGTCGATGCAGAGTCCTGAGACGATACTTGTGTTTTTTTGGATAATAATACAGTGCCCAGTGCACACTTACAAGTACATTAGTTATTAAAATCAATCTGCTTGACAATTAAATAGCTTTGCATTGCATTAAGAAACAAATGCCTGCATCAAAGCTATCATATGTGTTTCTTTTATTTATTTACACAGTAAACTATAAAATACCAAACCTTCTGTAACCTTTTTTGGTCTTGTTGCTGCCTGGAGGCAGTTTCTCTCTCCAGTGTTTGGTGCTTTGGTGCAGCCTTTGTCTGAGCCTACCTGAACGGTCTGTATTCTGCTCACTGTTATCACTCTTACTTCCATGGTCTGTACATCTTTTGTGCAGGTTACATTCATTTATTACTCGATTTGGCTTTTTGTTCGCAGAAGTGGTTTCTCATGTATTTGGGTCATTTGTGTGAAGTCGTCCTTTTGAGTTGTGTACCTACCTACAGGGGTGTCCAGCTCCACCCCCACCCACACTCCTTCGGCAAACTGTGTCATTCCCACGTAGCGCACCGTCCCGGCCTTATTGCTTCCTACTGTAACATATGCCCCTTCTGTCAGCCAATCAGGCAGTACGTCGTCATGGCTACGCTCTTCGTCGTCCACAAAGATCTCCAGCCTCTCAAAGCCTTCACTTCCTCCTCCTGAGTTGACCTGCTTGTGTTGAGAGAAGGAGTTTTCGGCAGTGACGTTGTTGTGATTGGCTGAGCTGTGGGAAGCAGGTGGAGCGACGACGGCCATCTTGGTGCCACACTGAGAAGGAGAGGTCACAACATCGTTCCTGTCAGCACCCAGCTGCTGGGGGGTTGTGGTTAACGTAGTCTCAGCAGCCAGGAGGGAGGAAGACGAGGAGGAGGGTTGGAGGACGTCAGACAGGGTAACTGTAGAAACACTACTGGAGAAGTAGCCGCTTGATGACTGGCTGAGGGGGCTGAGGGGGGTAGTGTCATGCGGGTCATGCACAGGAAGAAGAGGGACTTCTGGGAACTCTGCCCGTCTGTCTTTGGTTTGGGGCCGTAGAATAGCAGTCTACAGGAAACCAACGGATGCCACAGGAACAGAGGGACAGACGAGAGCATGCAGACAAGGCAAAACAACAAAACAATAATCAGCAATAAAAATCAACTTCCACAAAAATGGTACAATCACCCTTTGGACCAATCAGATGCCATTAATGCTGTTATGTGCAGCACAAATATATGTTGAAGGACCATTTGCATCATCTGTTAATGTTTTCTTGTGACATTTGCAGCCACATATTGGTTAACTAACCCAGTCGCCCTTTAGGCTAATAAGTAAATACATAAAAAGCTGTTAGGAAACAAACCATATGTAACGTACATGTACACTTATGTTGCTGCAGTTTGCAGAAACAATGAAAAAGTGGACAGGGACAATCTTACCGTCTCCACCTTGACTCGGCTGTCGTCCCCTCCTGATGTCAAGATGCGAGGAACATGCTGCTGAGTAACAACAACCAAGGTCATGACAAGAAAACAAGAATTAGTGCCTCGCTGCCAGAGCTTAAAATTTACAAGTTGGAATTACTATTAATGATATACTTGAAGTCTGATCCCGCCCTACTCCACAGTCACACAGTTAGAGCACTACTGACACCATCTCTGCTGACCTGCTGGCTGTGTGGCGAAGGTCTCAGCTCCTTCTTGTCGTCTCGCGCTGGAAACAGGGACTTGAGCAGTTTGGGCATCTGAGGAACCAGCGCCTTAACTGAAAGATAAGAGGCAGCAAGTCCTGAACGCCCTGGGGGAGGGGGTGGAGGTGAGAGAGGAGGAGGTTGAGGCAGAAGAGAGGAAGGAAGCAAGGAAAGAAGAGTAGGTGTGGGAGGTAGAGGAGGTGTGAAAGATTAAGACAAGAAGTTGAAAGCGAGTACAGGAAATGGCAAAAAACCCCAACACAGTGATAGACTGACAGAAGAAGGCATCAGCTGGCCACTGACACACAGATGGCGGATTAAATCATTATGATTAAAAAAAAAAAAATTCTAATCACTGGATTGTGAAACAGAAATTAAAATTAAATTTATTAATTCTGTTCATTTTGAACAGAATTAATCTAAAGCACATCACAGTGGCATGAATTCTGACATGGCCAAGAAATCACAATGAGACAGAAATATTCAGACTGATCAGACCAGACCAACTGACAAAACAGTGAAAAGCTTTGATAATGAAAATGAGGAGAAGTTCACACTGCATTAGACGAAGCAGGTTACAGAAATGGATGTAAGCAACACCAGAAAGAGCAGGAAGGAAGACAGATATTACACGTCACTCTAGCTCGGAAAAAAAGGAAACGAGTTTATTAATGTAAACAATGGCACATGGGAAATGGCAAAGTAAGTAGTCAGCTTAAGTGTTATTGACATTAGCACATATAGTAGAAGGATAACCCATTGGGAAACAAGAAGAGAGGAGGATGAAAGAACTGTCAGGAGAGTAAGAGTTGGGAGCATGGAAGAAAAATGAAAAGGAATTTATGGTAGAGAAGAGAAAAGAGGGGAGAAGAGACAGTGGGGGTTAAAGGGAGAAGGTTTACCTTGCTCCGGATCCTGGGTTTGTGGGGGCGTCATGCCGAAGGGAGTTGGGGATGAAGTAGGGGAGGTGGAGTAGCTGGAAGGGGAAGAGGCGGGCCTGGGGAGGGTGCGGTGAAACTGAGATGGCATGAAGATATCCTGCTGACTCTCCCATCGACCCTGAGAAACAGACAGATGACAGCACAATGGTTTGAAAATAATGAAATATGAATATAATATGTATGTAAGATGTAATACCATTTATATAGGACATTCAGTTCACTAAAGCTTGGTAGTTTAAACCCTATGTGGCAGTTAGGTCTTGTTTGTTATGTAGTTGCATCAGATGAATAATTGCTACTGGATCCACAAATGATCACAAAATATTTAAATGATCATTTTGAACATTTTGTTGTTGAAAACAGTCAACATGTGGAGACAAGAAGTAAAAAGTGTGTCACCTTGTCGTCTACCAGGCAGGTTGTGGACAGGTCTTGTCTGCTTCCAGACAGCTGAGGATGAATGGATGGACAGAGAGAGGGTAAATTCAGAGAAATCATATTTTATCGTAATATATTTTACACTATAAAGGGAATTGTACTTGTGTTTTACCCTGTTGACAGAAGGTGAACTTAGGCTCCGTCTGCTGCTCTTCCCTCTGCTTGTCAGTTGCTCCTTCACTGCCACCTCCTAAAACACACACACACACACACAGAGAAAGGACATTTTCAACATATTAGAAAGCACAAAAAGAATAAAGGGGGAAAACAGACAAATCACAACATTGATAAATGTAATATTTTGACATGCCATTAATCTCCTAGGCTGCTGAGTGTGTTAAAATTTCACATATACTGTGTGACTGAATCAATCAATGGATATCATTTCTATCTACCCGACACCATCTAACTTCTGTACCAGTTTCTCCATCTACCTGTCTGAGTCTGTCCAGAGTCAGGATGTTCTCCAGACTGAGGACACTGCGGAGGTATTTCTCAATTGCAGCCTCTTCATCAGCTGACTGGCTGTTGTGTGCGCTGGCAGCGAGCCGCGCCAGCATCTCCCGGTCCTCTGACCCAGGGGCGTCCTAATGGGACAAAACATCATAAGATTTGTGCTTAATAATCCTGCTCCTGAGGTGTTCTTCCTCAAAACACTAAATGCCTAATATTTTCCCCTGGCCTTACCCCGGGGATGTTGGAGACCACCTCAAAGGTGACCCCACAGCCAGGTATGGTGCTGCGGGTGGACATCCTTCTGAGAAAGTTGTGGGCAAAACCTTGGCGACCCGGGTTCACGTTGACGCAGATCCTCTTTCTCAAGACCAGCTGCATGTCGGCAGGGTGGCTGAGCTGAACCACCACCCGAATTGTCAGGTACACTCGCTGCTCCGGCCATGCTCCGCCACGACTGAGTTGGGGACACTCATGGACAGTAGAGTCCCATGATGCCTCTGCTTTAACCTGCAGGGTTGGAAAATCACAACCGGTTAATGAAACAGCTCCCAAAATGGACTCCAGGAATTCCTCAGAAAAATACCTTATGCAGTTCCATCCTCACCTCTCCATCATAGTGTTTGACAATCTGTAGGTCAAAGAAATCGTCCTCATCCTCTCCACTCAGGGTGGCATCCCATCCTCCAGCCTCAGGAACCTCAAACTGGTCTGGAGAGCTGAGGTCATCAGCTGGGAAAACCAAGAGAAAACATCATAAATCAGCCCGTGAGTAGAAACACATGCGACCAAGCATATATCATTTAGCAAAGAACTAACATACGTTTGAGGTTCAGGAAGACGACGGGAATATGAGTCTCCATGCCTGGCAGAGGGACCCTGTAAACAAACATGCAATACACACTGGGATCAACATATATACTTGTTTGTGCCTTACAGAAGTATAGTTGAGGCATTCATAAGGAAATATTAAATATTCAAATCACACACACACACACACACACACACACACACACACCCTACCATGCGTCTTACCATTCAGCAGGTGCTCCAGGAATGCCGCTACCAGCAGAGGGCACCATGACAGCGTTTCTCTCCTCTGTCAGAGTCAAGCGCCACTCCAGCAGCTGGGCCTCCCTCTCTGTGTCATCCTCTGTCTTTTCTGTGGACACAGCAACACTTGAACATTAAACACATTAAACACCTACACTTAAAACCACCTAAATTTAACTAGCATAAAAGACCTTTCTCACAGCAGCCATTTTTAACATGAAATAGTAGGATAATAAGGACCATTGACCTGATTGGAACAGAACCTTAATCAATATCAAACAGAGTCAGGGTGTTGCTACTGTGCATGTTAGCTCACTAGAAAGTCTCTGCTACACTAAATGGAACAGCACCTTAATGAGTTTCATTGGTAACAACAGTTTTTACCTTACTATTTCATGTCAAAATGGCTGCTGTGAAAAAGGTCTATACTGAAGATGCCTACAAGCTCTACAAACAGAAGGTAGTGTTACAGACCTCTGAATGTGTGCTTGTGCATTACCTGCTTTGCTGACCAGGCTCTGCAGGTGCTGGTCCAGGTATTCTTGTCTCTTGGTGAGAGCAGCTAACCACTGCCCACGCAAACGTTCCAGGTCTCTTTCCTATGCAACAAACCAGTCAGTTAATCGTCTTCAGTTCTCCTGTAAGTCAATGTAAGCCAAAGAGACTGTAGATAGAGTATTAAACTGGTCTACCTGATAACTGTCCATCTCATCTCCTTCCTGGTTTGCCGTGGTATTTCTGATCTCCACGCAACCCACTGACACTGCAAGCAGTATTTCTGCTATCAGAGGCATGGTGCCTGAGTCCTGAACTGAACGCACCTCCACCTGGATTCGTCTCGACTGACCCTGGAGATGAGCAAGGGGAGGGGACACAGCAAAATGTTTAGAAGACAGGACATTACTTATAATATTTAGAAGTTGGCTTTTCAGCTGAAGCTTGCTAGTTGCTCCTGCTGTGACCAGGTTGTGGTTGTGCTAGGGCCAATCCCTACCTGCCGAAGCTGGAAGATTCCCCCCGTCCGCACATCTCTAGCAGGAACCACTTCCACAGGGACAAAGTCTCCATTCTCATTTATCTCCAGGATTTGAATCCACAGCTCTAGGCGACGTGTTACCTCACTCCATCTACAAAAACCAACATTATTGGTACATATGGGCAACAAAGCATTGTTGTTTCAGAAGTTACTGGAAATCAACTCTTGCAAGCAAAATTAAGAGTCAGAGGTGAGTGTGTGTTTGTGTGTGTGTCTACCTGTCTCGTAGTGTGCGCGTCTTGGCCTGGATGATGCTGAGGTCCCACAGGGCTGGGTTTCTTCCTGCATCAGCCTGTCTGTGTCCATATACCTCAATGGCAACTGCCCCTTCAGTCAGATATTCGATGAAATCCTCTGTTACTGACACTGCCAGCTCCTACAGGACCAAATGAAAGATCAGTCTTACACAACTTATATCGGAACACCCCCCTACCCCCCTACCCCAACACCACCTTTTATAGAAATATTTGCTTTCCTACACCCTGTGTGTCAGTCTAACACAAGAACAAATCCGTACAGAGTTCATTAAAGCATTGAATCTAGACTTGTCGTCCACCTCCTCCCTCCCAGGCTTCACCTTGCAGCTGTCAAACACAACCATGCAGTGTGGGTCCTTGGTGCTGGGTGAAGAAGAAGATGGGTCTACTTCAGGAGCCACGATGATGGGCTCAGGCTGGTCCCAGAATGCATACTGACAGAAGACGAAGTTGGACAGGTACTGAGGAAGACCAGTGGCCTGCAGGATCTTAATCTGTAGAGGGGAAACAGGTCAAAGGTAATTTAAACATATCTTTTTCAACCATAAATGAATAATAAAACAGTTTCAACAAAAACTGAACATTATAACCTTCATGCAGGTAGGATATATGGCAGGAATGTTGTATTACACTGCATTAGTTTGAATTGAGTGTATACTGAAACTTAAAGTAGACTAAACACACTTAGCGTTCCTTGAAATATAAAATGAGGCTTATGGAAGGAGTTTAAACTAGTGACTGAACCAGGTGTGCGTAACAGAGATAATGTATGGTCTGTCTGTCTTACCATGCAGACCAGTTTGCGATCCTGGACTTCAGTGTCTTGGTTGTTGTCAGATTCATCTCCTCCAGCCATGTTGTCCTCCAGTCCTCCTCCAACCCTCACCACCTCCACATGAAGACGCCCTGCCACCTGACCACAGAGAGGGAAAGCATATAAAACCATTACCCCAACCATAGAATATGTGTGTGAATGTAAGTAGTTAGTTAGTTCACTCCAGAGCTACTCATCTACCATTTGCAGTGGTATTGTGAACATAGACCTGGCATTTCCTTTGTACATCTTGTCTAGTACTTTGCTATTATACTAGCATTATTGCAACATTATTATCATATGAATATCATGTAACCTATGACTCTGACTTCTAGGTCACTCAGTATGGGTGTCATGGGAATTTCAAGTAAAATCTCCAAAGAAGCAGCTGCTGATATTCAGAATCCACAAAACAAACTACACTGAAGAAATTCATAATACAATAAGTATAGAGTCTCTAATAAAAGCTCTGAAAAAGACATAGGAATTATCAACAAATCTGTGACTACCCACCTCCCCCTTCTGGTTGATGATGGGAATAGCGTACTGCAGCTTGACATCGTAGAAAAGACAGGAAAGGAAGACATTGGCAACGCCAATCAGACTGTGGTTTTCCTGCTCATCAAAGAATGGGTCTGCTCTACGGAAATATGAGCGCATCACCTGAACAAGGAGAAAATAATAACAAGGAATACAACGTTATTTCAGTAAAATGTTTTAGCATGTTAGCTACAGTTCTAGGTCAGTGCTAATGTTTACTGTATTCATTCTTGTATTTGTGTACTCTGACAGCCCTGTCCTGGTGACCTGGCAGGATCACTGTACGACTTCACATGGTGAATTTGTAAAGCTAACTCACAGGGTTGTCTTGGTGATGAACGTGGTAGTCCTGCCACTCCTGGTACAGCTCTCTCATGTCAACCAAGCGGTTCTCCATCTTCTCCAGACTCCAAATCTGCTTCCCTCGACACCGACGTCGAACCTGAATTGCTGGTTCACTGAGCACTGCATCCCTCTACATACACACAAACACACATACACACGTATTTAGAGAATTGGCTGTGCTAAATACAGAAGAAAGGAAATCTGTGTACAAGTGTTTACGTATTTGTGTGTGTGAGACCTTGCGGTTTGCGTTGAGGTTGTCTGATGGGATCTGCAGAGTGACTCTGTACTCAGTGTGTCGTTCCAGCTCCTCTGCAATGAAACAGGCTTCTTGCACCAGTAGGTTTGCCCTCACTATCTGCTCCCTCAACCGCCGTAGACTCCTCACTAACACCGCCTCCCTGAAAGAGGAGAAGAGGTGGCAGAGAAAAGAGGGAGAC